GGACTGTCGGTAGAGACAGATCCAGTGATAATGTTGTAAGGTTTGTCGGTAGAGACAGACGTGATTTTAATAATGTAAGGGTTGTCGGTAGAGACAGGCCCAATGTTAATGCAGTTTCAAGTTGTTGCGATCGTGAGGGACACGACGCAGACTTTTCGGCCGATGTACAGGCTATGAGTTGTTTTAATTGCGGTTGTGGCAACCACATCGCAAGAGATTGTCCGCAGGGACGGACGTGTAGAAAGTGTGGTCGCAGAGGTCACACAGCTGATGTATGTAGATCCCAAGGAAAGGGATGGGTTAATTCGGGAAATGGCGGAAGGGAGTTGTCGAGCAACCAGACGACTGCCCGGCCGAACAATTAAGGGGTTGTCCACAAATTAGAATAAACGAGTGCAAGAAGCATTATAAATCAAATTTGGATACCATGACCTTAGGAGTTGATCTAAGTAAAACAAATGAACTGAAATTCTTGATTGACACGGGCGCCGAAATCTCTTTAGTTAGAAGTTCAAGCTTAAAACCAGAAGTAGAGATTAGTTGCAGTGAAGGCATAAATGTTAAGGGAATTTCAAATACCATCATGAGAACCAAGGGAACAACTGAATTAAGGCTATTCGCGGGACCGTATGAAACCACGCATACGTTCCATGTTATGAATGACAATTTTCAATGGCAATACGATAGAATTTTAGGTCGTGACTTTTGTATAGATAAGGGAGCTAACATAAACTACTGTGACAGAAGGATTACTATGGACAATGTAGCAGTCGAGTTTGACCCTAATGTGAGGGACAAGGACAGACAGACTAAAATTACATTGAAGGCTAGAACAGAAAATTTAGTGAGACTGCCCACCCCGTCAAAGGGACAAGGTTTAATCTCAAAGAAAGAATTAATACCCGGTGTATATTTAGCAGAGTCGTTGAGTACTGAAATCAATGGGACCTGCGTGACAAGTATAATAAATTCATTAGAGATAGATGTTACAATTGAACCACCTGTAGTTGTTTTGGAAGATATTGATAAAGACGAGTGTGTGAAGACAGTAATGATATTTACAACCCAGTTAGCAGAAGATAATGATCGCCTAGCTAAATTACGGAATGAACTGAGAACCGATCACTTAAACAGTGAAGAGAGAGTATCCCTTATCAGAATTTGCGAAGAGTACAATGATGTATTTTACTTACCTGGAATAAACTAACTTTTACCACCGCCTCCGAGCACGCCATCCCTACTCCCGCGATAAACCCGAACCGGGCTATAAACACAAGGTCATATAGGATTC